TAAGGTGCCTCTGCACCTCTGCAGGTGAAAGGGCCACCCCCACAGTGAATATGGAGCACCCAGCACCCAGCACCAAGCAGGGAGCTGGAATCAAGCAAGAGATCGAGGGCCAGCAGAAGCCCATTCTGGAAACACTTATACAGACAGTATGGGACACCCACGCTGGAGAGAGAGTGATCCTAAGTGTGGATACCTAGTAACTGCACGTCTGGGCTTATGTAACATTTTCACCACATCCCTGGAACACCCACAACTCAGGCCACCCCAGTTCCCCCAGGCTGGGTGCTGCGATGGCATCTTGCACAAAAGCAAATGCAGCCTGCAGTCCCCCCACCCCGGGCTCCCCGCAGCTGGCATTAGAGAGCATAAGGATCGGTGGGCCACAAAAAGGGAGCAGGCAGCTGTGTTCTAGGAGCCGCCCTGTATGAGAACGTTTCCTTGACCCCCTCTCTCTTTTTTATGTATTGATTTTAGAAAGAGGAAGAAGGGACAGAAAGACAGACAGACAGGCCAACATCAACCTGCTCTTCCGCTCACCCATGGACCCTTTGGTTGGTATCTTCAGGGATCAAACCTCACAAGGCTCCAACCAACTCAGGGCTTTCTCTCTCTCTTCGCTGCATATTAGTAGTTCCTGCTGCACAGTGCTGACTTTCCTGAACATGCAAAAACTACTCCACATCCACACACATACGCACAGGATGAGGCCAATTCTGCCCATAATTTGTAAACTTGTTACCATAGAGACAGCTTCTGGGGCCCACAAACATGGATCAACAGTGCCACCTGGTGGAGTGTTGATTATACTGCGTCCTCAACCCGCACAACATTGCATGAGAGGGGACACTTTTTTTTTCCTTTTTTCCCCTCTTTTTTAGCTTCCTGGTGGGGTTCTGGACACCCATATCTACTTAGCCAAGTTGTATGTGAGGCTCTCTGCCCACATGCAGAAATAAAGTTCCATCTCATTTTCTGGATGCTCTGCACAATGACCCCATCCCTAGCTCTACACAACTCAGGAACCTCAGTGGGTATCACACACGATGACAAAGAGAAGCTAACACTTGACCTGCAGGAGCATGAGACACATGGAGGACTGTAAATAAGTAAGGTCAGGTCTTCCTTTATCATTTTGTACGCTTGTTCAGACAGCGTGACTTCTCCACAAAAACACTTTGCGAGAAGCAGGCTTGTCTGTAAGTGAAGTTGCTATAAATGAAGTCCTTGTTGTCTATAAATGAAGTTGCCCACTCCATCAGGAAGCAGGGTGTCGACATCGGCAAATCTGGGGTCTCCTGCCCCCACTGCATCCAAGTGTGAGGGTACTCGTGCGGCACTGAGTCTGGGGACAGGGAGGGGTCCTCAGGGACCTCATTCCCATCTGCCTGCTCATCCCAGACCCTGACCCCAGGGCAGAGCAGCATGCTGCCACAGCGGCAGGGAGGTGTGTCGCATGGCCAAAGCCACCCCCTGTCCTCCTTCTGTTACCCTCAGTGAATAATTCCACACACTAATCTGTCAACCAGAATCAGTCACAGCTATGGGCATGACTGTTTGAGGGTCACGGTACGTATGGATGTAAACAGACCCCTCATCTTATGCTCGTGGGCTCCAGGGCAGACAGACTCATCCACACAGCCCAGGAATGCTCCAGGCGCTCGCTGCAGGAGGGACACAGCTCCACCGTCCCTGAACCTAAGTGCTCGGGACAGACGGGTTTGGGAACTCTGAGTCTGTCAGATTTTAGGAAGGTGACTGATCTACAGATGATATATTTCAGAATCTTTCTGTTGTCAATCATACCCACATTTCTGCAGCCCAGCTCAGGACAGATAAAGTGAAATAAATGAAGACGATCAAAAACTCGTGCCACTTCAAGTGACAGCACCAAAAAGGGATTTTTTTCCCGTCTTTCATAGTTTTGGTGCCAGCCGAGACCTGGAAGTGAGAGCTGACCAAGTGGCCACCAGGTGGCAGAAGGAGGGAGACCAAGCACCGGGACCCAGCCAGGCGAGGGATCCGTATATTCGGGGAGCTTCAACCCATTCAGCAGGCTGGAAACACGAAACCAGATTCCTCAGTCTTTTCAACACCCTCGCCTCTGCCTCAAAATTCCCCCTTTGCAGGAAGCCTCCTGACGGCCCAGCCTTCCCTATACCCACTGCACTGACATTCCAAAAAGTTCTGTTTTTTCGAAGATCACTGGAGATCTGAAATTCCTTAAGTGCAGACCTTATCTTCGCTCTTTGGTACAATCTGCTAACCCCTATTCAAGGTTTTCTATCACAGCCATTCACTCCCCTACAGCTACAACCACAGTGCAAGTAGCAATAAAAAAGCAACATATTCTTAAAGAATTGTGGGGCGGGGGGTGCGGTTGAAAGGGTGGCATTATTAGCCTTGGATGTGGAAAGGAATGGAATCCCTCAGTGGTCGTGCGAGCTGTGTTTTCTTTCCTCATCCTCCACTCAGGAACAAAAAGTGGTCTCCTATCTTCACCAGGAGACGGAATCTTTTCCTGTACACGGATTCTCAGATCAGTGAAATTTCCAATGCAGCAGTGTAAATATCCAGGCAATAAACAAGGGGAGGCAGATGGAGTGGTCTTCACAGTTATTTCTGCTTGTCTGTCAAAATATTTAGCTGGCATATAAATCTTTTAAAACACATTAATTGGGCATCGCAGGCCAACCTTTCCATGAACATGCAACAGCCCCCAACTGCTGAAGGTGGCTGCCATTGCAGCATTTCTTCAGCACTTACCAAGGAAAGCTGGGCCCCACACCTGGTAAGTAAGACCCAGCAGCACCTTGCCTGGACTAAGGGACAGACCCACCCTCTGCCCAGGCTGGCAGGTCTTCCCCTGCCCTCCCAGCCCACCCAGATCAGCAGGCAAAGCCTTCCCTTGTTGTAAAAGACGCTGAGGTCATTCTGAGAGCCGAAAGGACAGCAGACAGAGTGTGGTATTTCTGGAACTTATCTATTCTCTGGGGCTACATACATCAGCCTGAACTGCTCTTAACTATATTTCCTGCAAGTGGTGGGAATGCAAAACTATATCCCTGGTTTGGAGTTGTGCACCATGGGATTTTTTTCTCAGTTTTTGAAGACACTCACAGCATAAAACCAAATATATTTTTAATGCACTGGAAACATGCAGTGGATTTTAATGAAAGTGATTAGCCCTAGGAAAGGAAAGCGGAGTAACATGGAAGAGATAGGTCAGTCTGTGTCACTCCCTCCCTGCCTCCCCAACTGGGAAGCGGTCTGTGATGGCAAGTTCAGAGGCACAGGGCCGTGGCCCATCGCTGCCACCTGGAGCTCACAGCAAAGCTTCTGAGAAAGGAGGCTCAAGCTATGTGTATCCCCCTCAGCTTGGCAAAACCACCTGCAGACCTACCTCACACTTAGCCTTGTATCAAGCACGCAGATGAAACAATGAGTTTCATTCTGGCTGGGCCATCAAGAAAGATTCAGTCCAAAGTGAGATACTTAAAGCAGCCTAGGCTGACACGCAGGTCAGCTGTGCAGGACGCCTCGCAATTAGGCCTGAGGCTTGAGAACATGCAGGGCTGTGACCGCCAGAGGGCGCACCTGCACATCCCTGAACTCGAAAAGCTGAAAGTGCGCTGCCTATCAGGGACCGGGCCCTGGGACACACAGCCTCTGCAATTACCCACAGAAAACAGCTCTTCAGACAGGACAGTCTGGGTTCAGCGCCTACCGTCTGGCCCAGCAGAGACTCAGACGAAGATAAGAAGGGGGGGAGGGAGCGAGGGAAGTGAGGTGCCCTGAGCAAGTATCAGACTTTGCTAAATGCTTTCATATCACTCATTGCATGTTTTACTTAGGAAGCAGACTGAAAATAGGACAGGGGTTGAAGTATGAAGGAATACATTTCATCCTGGCAGAGACTGTCCAAATGGAATCCCTTCCTGAAGTTTCCACTGCAGGGAAGGGATGGGTCTTAGTGGCAAGCCCCACACCCAGGCTCTTTTCTGCACATGGAGTCTCCGCCTAGTGGAGACCCCTGACCTCTGGATCCTGCCAGAAAAGCCCCCAACCCCAGAGTGAGCTATAAAATGGAGACCTGGATCCCCAGATCTAAAGGCCTGTTCGGGTCCTGCCTTTGTCCTGCACCCTCAGGCCTCGCTGCTCACAGTGCTGAAGGGGCTTCAAGCAGCCCTGACCTCTAGTTACCAGCCTTCACCTCTCTCACCCACTCAACTCCTGCTCCACTGGCCTCCAGCTCCCTGCCTCGGTCCTGGAATCTGATGCACATTTTTCTCTTCCTGGCCATGACGGGCTTCCTCTTGGCCACAACTCACGCTCCAGCACTACATCCACAGGTGACACAGGTAACACTTCTCCCAGTTCCCAGAAGTCCCTGGTGCCTTCCTATTTCCCAAGGACCATTCTTTCAAGGCCATCCCAGCCAGCGGGGCCTCACTGGCGGAGCTCCACGCAGGCCCTGCCACTTGTCCCTTGTTTTCCCAGTAGTGGCCACCAGAGGGCGCCCACTCATCTCCTATCCTGTTCCCCTCCATCTTCCCTGGGCCTTCTGCTAACTCTTGCATCCACAGGCTATCCATCCACTACACGGGGGACCCACTCAGCCTGCCCTCCCGACTTTTGTGCTAGGTCTCCCCTAGCCTTTGTCTTCCATCATGCTTGTCCCCTGTGTCCCATTCCCTCTGGACCTCACATGGGCTTTGTGATCTGGGTATGTGACTTCTGCTCTGTGAACTCCAGGCTTCTTAAATGCAAATTTGGGGTGCAGACACCCACAACATTGGCTGCTAAGATGCTTCCATGAGATAACAAATAGAAAAGTCTTCCTTTCCTTCCCTGAGTGTCAGGAAGCTCCAGGATGAGATGAGGCCTGGGACAAGTTTCTCACCCCACCCCCTACCTCAAATAACTGCCCCACCCCAGTCCAGAGGGCACTGCAGATCACAGAAAACTTGAGCTGAGGCTCCCCTTGTAAAAACTGGGTCTGAGGCCTCTTGGCACTTATCACAGGCTGTGTTCTTACACCGCCTATACAGAAAGGAGGCGGAGTAAACCCACCCCATATACACCTCAGCCCAGGCCTTGTGCCTGGTCTATATTGTGAGTGGGGGATATGGGGGGGGGGACTGCCTTTGAGGGGAATCGCTTCCTGCTGCATGGGCACCACGGCTCCAAGCTGAGGCAACAAGCCCCAGGGGACCATCTCCCGGACTCATTAGAGCCTGGAGCTGCTGGATGGAGGCTGGCCACAAGAACAGGCAGCATCGCTGAGTCTCTGGCCACAAGAACAGGCAGCATCGCTGAGTCTCTGCATCGAGCAGTTGCCTGGCCCTGGGAGACATGGAGCTACACCTGCTCCAGCTTGGAGCCACCCTCTCAGGCCATTGCCCAGGGGAAAAGGTGGTGAATGGGATTCTTTGCTGTGGAGCCCCCATGGAGACGTCTGAAGAGACCTGGCCAAGAAATCCAGCTGTGAACAGTAGTGAGAGAAGGGAAAGAAGAGAGAGGAGGGAGAGCACGGGGGGGGGGGGGTACAGAGTTAGAGGAGAGAGTAAAGAGAAAGGAGAGAGAAAGAGACGTAGAATGTCTGGTGGACGAGCCTTCTGGTCATTTGTGACTTTGGACACACAGGTTTGCCAGGTGTTGACCCTGCTGGTTGCCCACTTGACACGCGTTTCTCGCCCACCCTTCTCTCCTCTTCAGAACCCACACCCGACCCCCTTCACTCAGCCATGTGCTTCAAGGGGGTTCATCGCAGTCCCAGTCCAAGGGGTGAGCCCTGGCAGGTCCAAGTCAGTCACAGGCATGTGGCATCTTTCTGGCCAGTGAGACATGAGGAGAAGTCTGCTGGCTGACTCCTAGGAAAGCTTTCCTTGCCGTTAAAAAGAGACTTAGGAGGAGATGGCCCCTTCCTGACCCGGGGCTTTGCTGTAGCCAAGTAGGATGTCTGGACCTCCTCCAGCCACCTCGTAACCATGCAGGAATTGCAGCCTAGAAATGGGTCAGACACACGGACAAGCACAGAGCCCAGAGACTCAGAGAAGTAGAGCAGGAGCCTGCGGCCCGGATGCTGGCCCAGCCCGTGGCCTCCCATCAGGCTGGCTGACCAGAAGCTGGCCGTGCGTGCACACGTGTGTTTATGTGCTTGGCCGAGTCTCTGTGGGCCTCATTTCTGACAATGTAGAAAAACGGTCTGCTTTCCCCGAGCCACCCTGAAGGGAACCCTTTTGTTCTTGATTAATATGGCACCCACCCTCACTAGCGGACGCAGAAAAAGATCTTAATGCTTTCCTTAGAGTGGCAACTAATAGAAAAGTAGCCCTTGCGTTCTGTATTATTTTATATAAGTTAAATATTATTTTGTAATTATGTAGCACTCAATCAACTTGAACTAGGCTTAAACACAAAGAGAATTTATTGTTAAGGAGAGAGGTCTGCTTTGGAACACCCAGAACCTGGAGTGTGGTCTGGTCTGGAGAACACACAGGAATCCAGGTTCCAGATGACATGAGGCCACCTGCTCTGTGCTGTGCCGTGCAGTGTCCCCAAAGGTTCGTGTCTGTCTGGAACCTCAGAATGTGACGTTACTTGGAAACAGGGATTTTGCAGATGTTAAACTAAAATAAGGTCCCACTGGCCTTAATCGAATTGCTGGCCTTGTAAGAGGGGCGGAAAGACAGACATGGAGCAGACAGTGTGGAGACACAGAGGAAAGAATAGCACGTGACGAATGAGGTAGAATTTCTTGTCTACGAGCCAAGAAATGCCAAGGACTGCTGACGGCCACCACAGCTGGGAGAGAGACGAGGTGCCCTAGAGCCTTCGGAGGAGGGATGGCCCCGCCGACAGCTTGCTTTCAGACTTCTAAGTCCAGCACTGCGAGAAAATACATTTCTGTTGTGTGAAGCCACCCAGTTTGTGGCACTTTGTCTCGGGAAGCCCCTGGAAACAAGTACACCTTCTACTCCTTTTGATTATATCAGCTTCTCTCTTCCCTCTGGCTACAAACCAAGCCCTGAACACCTGCATCCACAGAGCTGCCAACAGCCTGCAGATCTGAGACTTGTCAATCAAGCTTCGAAAAGGAGAGGCAGCACTTTCTGCCTCCCCACTCGACTCTCTAGGAAAGACCTCTAATTGGCCCAGTTTATCTTGGGAGATAGATGTAAACCAATCAATTGTGGCCACAGGGCCAAGTGACCACAGTAGGATGGCAGCAGGATGGCAGTTCCCACAGTAGCACGTGGATGAGAAAAGGGTGACAAAAAAGAAATTTGCGGAGCAACAGAGTTCACGGCAGGTATCCTTAAGTCATTATTCCCTAAATACTGGCTTTCCCTGGACCGTGTTAACCCACCCCTTTGTATTTTCATACATATTTATCAATAAACAATGGAGTAAGAAAGGAGAAGGAAAACTGAATTTTAAAAAGCCAGAAATCCAGGCTGACCGGTGGAAGCCTTCGGTAAGGTGCAAAGCCAGAGGAATGATGGGCGCCCATGTTACTGGAACCACTAACAGCACAACTGTAAGTACATAATTCAATTGTCCTTACCTTGCGCTGTCGGCCTGGAATCATCAAGTGATGGCATTCAGCCCTGTGCAAAGGGAATGTCAATAAGTGGTCAGAGAAAACCACGGCTTTAGTCTTCGTCTCTGCTGACATTCTCCTCTTCTGAGTTGCAGCGGGGAAACCAAGGCAGCTTATCAGGGTTTCAGCAGCGAAGGATCTTTGTCCAATTTCCTGGCAAAGACAAAACCACATGACAAAAACTTAGTAAATACCGTTAGGAAAACACCTGAAATACGCCTACACTTCTATAAATAATAAGCTACGTATGAATAGAAATGGCTGAGCAAGTCTTGAGAGGCTAATTAATATTTCTATAAGGCGAGCCCCCGGTGACATGCTGAGCAGCGGGGAACTTGCAGTGATGTCTGGGCCATTCTCGTGGGCCACCGATAACATTTCTATGCACAAATTTTAGAATTTCAACTACAGAACCGTTATCATCAGTGTTTGTGTCTGGCCAACCACGCTGCTTATAAATAATGGGTGTAGCACATCGACGGCTGAAAAAGGAGGGGTTTGAGATGGGATGAGAACTCCCTACAGTCATCTCAAAAAGCCAAATTATTCCCTAGGTATGTCCCTGCATCATCAGCATGGCCTTCACGTTTCGCGTATTTTTCTACAATTAAAAACGATCAATCCCCACTAAGAGCACTGTTCAGCTTCTACCCCAGGTGGGGTACTGAGGAGTGGCTAAGATCCTATATCGCGCTTTGAAATGACACACACCAGGGGTTCGCCTCTGTGTTCCCACTGACCTGAGCATGAACTTGGAGGAGGTAGATAGATGCTCAATCTCCAAAAATGTTTCTTAAACCAAAACATACATTTTATCCTTCCACTGACTACATTTTACGAAGTACCAGGTCTCCTCGGGCCTTCACTGGGCATTTCTGAACACATTTCCAGGGGTCAGGCTGTATTATCAGACCTGGAACGAATTCCCCAGCCGACCCTACTGCCATTCACCTGAAATGGCCTGTGAATATTTGGGAGTGTGCACTTTCTCTGCTCCACACGAATGTTCCAGACAGCAATGCACAAGCAGGCAGCGCCTCTGGTTTCAGAAATGCGGAGCAAAGTAACCCCCGGTCATTACATTCATCCAGTTTGTTCTGCACGACGGCGCTTCCCCTGGCTAACACAGACAGCTAACAAAGGCCCTGGCTGGTTATTTGGATCCAGCCAGCCAGTTCTGCAACAGAATCAGGAATGTCCTCACCAGGCTATTCGCCTCACATCAGGAACTAGCAGGAAGCTACCCCCTGGAGAGTTTGGCGTGGAAGGGCCTGCCCCATCATTTAACCTTCCCCCTTGCTTTTAAAAATGGAGAAACTGAGACCCAGAAAGGGTTAAGGGGCTTGTTTAATAGAAAGAAAACATAGAAAGGGGGAGGAAACACGGGACTCTTGGGACCAAGTCCAGACACATTTCCGCATTTCGTGTGGCTGCCTCACAAAAATCTAAGTGTCTCGTGAGTTTCTAAGTTGTCTCTGCTCAGGAGCCCAGCCAATTTTCTCTGTATGGCTTCAGTTTTAATATACACGCTGCCAAAGTGAGCATGTACAAAAATGTACATTGTTTGCGGCGGTGATTAAATCCTGGACTCATCCGTGTATTCCACTGAACCAGCACACATCACTTCATTCTGCAGCTGGCCCGTCTACTCCGCAGACCATAAATTCCTGGACAACAGAGACCATCTCGGTCCCACGTCCCCTCACAGCTCCTGACCTGAGTCTGAGCCTGGGTAGACGGTACAAGTGACATTCGCTTCACATCTTAGTCTCAGAAGAAGGAAGGCATCTGGGAAAACTCACGGCATGTGCGAGGGTCCCAGGAAATTGTCGGAAGCATAGCAGAATTCTGCAGATGCCTTGTGGGTATTTTAAATTTGTTTGCTTTGTTTTACTGCTTTATAATAAGATTAAAGCCTCATATATATGTGAGGAAGCAGGTATGTGAATCAAATATTTTAGCATATCCCCAATGTTACGCATAAGAGCTCCTTTATTTTCACAATTAACTCACTTGTGGATTGATCCTTTATGTGTAGAGAACCTGGGTGGCCCAGCCAAACACGCACCTACCTGACAAGCAAAAGCAAAGTTTTGAGAGAAAGAGAAAGAAAAAGAGAAAGAGGGGAAGGGGGGGGGACAGACAGACAGACAGACATTCAATTTGTTCCACTTATCTATGCATTCATTGGTTGCTTCTTGTATGTGACCTGACCGGGGATACGAACCTGCAACCTTGGTGAAAGGTTTTCTTAGGCTCTGCCGAGGAAGACATGCCAATCAGCCACAAAGTTAGGCGGTATAGAGCTTTACTGGGGTTTGTGCACCCCAGTGAGGTTCCCCGGCCCACAGAGTAGGGCTGGGGAAGTTGTGCCCAAGCAGGGAATGTGGAGGGGGGTTATTTTGGTTGGCTCTCTTCCTGGGAGCTGGGGATTGGGCCCTTTGAACAAAGCGGCAATACATCATTGGTGGTTCTCCTGGGGCACAGGTTGCTATGCGGATAAAGCCCGCCCTCCCTGGTTTGATGTCAGCCGCCATTTTCTCCCACCCTGCCCATCTCAACACTTGGTGTACTGGGGCAATTCTCTAGCCAACTGAGCTACCCAGTCAGGGCCAAAATCATTTTCAAAATAAGCCAAATCCTTCACTTGTGTTTCTCAAAAACCATTCAGTGGAACCAAATACGGTCCAGAGCATCCCTTCTTAAAAGGGCCTCATCTCTCCTAACCATTTCCTTCACACTCTGCAGTTGCTTCAGTGTTTTCTACACATTCTTGGCACATTTCTGGATCAAAATGATGGCGTGGCATGAAAGATTTATCTCCTCTCCAACCTTAAACCCCCCAAATAATCCTACATTGATACAAAAGGTTTAAGGCTCCATACAGAAGAGAATGGGAGGTGGGACACAAGAAGACAAGAGACTGCAGCCAAGTTCTGCAAGGCAGTGACCCCACGGAGACACAGCATAACTACTGAGCGAGCAGAATTCCCAACCAAGAGTAGCAATGCAGCCAGCATGACACTCTGCGAGGATCTCAGCCTGTCTGGCAGACACAGACAGAGGCTCGGGATTCAGAAACCCTTGGGGAAAGTGAAATATGAGGCTGAAATGGAAAATGAGAGAAGATGGACAGATGGAACAAGAGGACTCACAGCCACTATCCCCTGAGCACCCCGCCTCACACACACATGTGGAGACACAGACACCTGGAAGTAATCCACACTCCCTCCCGGCAGACACCCAGACAACGTCTCCTTACAGCAACTGAATGTTCCAGGGAAAAGAACTCTGAGTTCTGATACTTGGGGCCCAGGGTAATGGGCAGCAGCCCACAGGATCTCCCAGAGGCAGAGTCTTTCATCTGGGAAGCCCCCCCCACCCCCAACATCCCACCTGTGAAATGCACAAGGGTGCAATGTCAAAAAGGGAAATCCAGCCGTATGGCCCCAAATCTCACATGCATTTATTCTCTAACCAGCAAGTCCACGTCCACGAATCCGTGCAAAGGATACACTGGCAATACTATGAAAAAGACATACGCACAAGGCTATTCACTGCAGCTACATTTTTTACAACAAAAGACAGGATCTAAATGTCGTCAGTAGGAATGAGTTGAATAAACACTGATACCTCCAAAGCAAGGAGCGCTCTGCAACTACGAAGACAAGAGGAAGCCGCGTAGAAACTATTTTATCTCCGTGACACATGGTCTGCATCGATCCATGGATTGTACAGAAGTGTGCTAATAAGATGTATAAAGACTTCTGATTGTTTTCCTGTTGTTGATCGCTAGTTTCAAGGGCACTTAAAAAGAATGCACAGGTTAACAATGGCGGGCACACAAAACCGAGTTAATAAAAGCTACAGTAATAATCATGCCCTGCGTGTCCTTTTCCACATAGACAACTGTAAACCTACTTTTGCCCACCCCTGTATATTCTGTTGTTGGGTGAAGTGTCTTTGAGGTTTTTTATTTTATTTTTAACATTTTAATGTATTCTTTATTCTATTTTTGTACATTACTTTTTAGTCCGTTTATACCTCCTTACCCCCAGCACCCCCCACACTGTTGTCCACCTCTATTTTCCCAGAAAATCTTCAGTATCATTGAGGTTCTCAAAATAGTGTTACAATGCAACATATTTTGTGTATCTGTATATATGGTGTTTTTATCTTTATAAAATAAAAACTATCTGAAACAGTGTATATATTATAGTATCACTTTATAAAATTTTACAATGTATATAAATGTGACCTTACTCCATGTATCTATTTGTGAATTGCTTTTCCAATTCAGCACCATGCTTTCCAGATGTATCCATATTGATACATAAAGATAGCTCATTGCTTTTAACTGTCCTGAGTAAGCCTTTGTATGAATAACATTAACAGGAGTCGGCCATTTCCCCCACCCCTTCCCTGCCGTTTTCTCACCTTTCCCGCCCCCGCCCCCACCCCCAACTTCAACTCCATACTCCTCCTAGGGGCTCCTCTCCTCTGGAATCTCACCCTGCGGTTTTCCTATTTCAGGTCTTTCTTGGTATCCTGGGAAGCTTTCTTTACACCTTTTGGATTTTGCTCACCCAGCAAAGCCCAGCACAAATGCTGCCTCCAAGGTCACCCTTTCCTCCCCAGCTCTGCCACAGCATTTTATGTGAACCTCTAGCACTGAGTTTTATTTGGCCCTTTGTGTCTTTTCTGCACCATCAGTCATGATTCATGCTATTTTTAAGGATAAGGGCTATGATTTATTCACCTCTGCGCCCATCTCCCTCTGAATCTCCTGAACTCCCAGTATTGTGCTCGGAACAAGCTCAGCATTTGATAAAAATCTTCAAATCAAGACATCAATGCCCAAAGCCTGGGGCCTCTGAACAAGTCCTAGATAACATTCCCACCCAGCTATGCATGGACTCATTGGGCATGGAACAAAATTCCACAGAGCACACTATTTTCCTAGAGAAGCGTTTCTGGGGCCAGGCCCAGGAATCCTGTAGTCCGCCTGGATACACCTCCCCACTATAAACCAGGAGAGATCAGAGCAACGATGGGACAGATTTTCAGGGGAGGCAAGTGAGAACTACAAAGCACCTGCCCCTCCAGCTGGGGAGTTACCAGAGATCACCTCCAAAGTCATGAGATGACAAAAAGTAATCAGAATTAATTTATCACTTAGGATAAGCATTTAGCTGTAACTGCAGATGCTGGTATTTTTAGGGTTGGTTGGCCCTAAGGCTCTGGGCTAAGTGTTCTACACATTTTTTTTTTGTCTTAATTTCACCCATTCAAGAACCTGATGAAGTAGGAACCACATTAGCAGTAGTGTTAGTATTATTGTATGACCATCCTCATTGGTAACAGTGGAGAAACTGAGGCTCAGAGACGTCAAACAGCCTGCTTGTCATCACACAGTAAATGACAGAGCCAGGGTACAAACCCAGATTTTTCTGAAAATGCCATTTCTCTTCCTTCTTTTCCTGCATCCTTCCTTATTTTTAGCCATTATTTTTAATTATTCAAAGAAAACCTGGACACATTTTTTTAAAAATCCAGACCACACAGAATATGAATTTCCCTTACCCTTCCTCTTCCCCATCCTAACCTGTACATAGAAATACATAGTTTTATTTCACCTTTTAAAGCCTCTGGCTTGATTTTAAAATTGTTTTGTGAATAAGTGATAGCTTCTCATGGCTGAGAAATGAAACTGTCTCACTGTCCAGTGCTGTCCTCACCTCTGTCCCCCATCAGTCCCTCCTCACTCACAGGGGACCATTGGGTTGATCTTCTTGTTCATTTTTCTTTTCCTGTCTTTTTGCGTGTGGGGTGGGGGCCGTGGCTGGGTCCATTTCCTGATTGTTCTCACAGTGTGTCTGCCTTCTCTGACACACGTGCATTTACAAGTAAACCTTCTGACTTTTCCCTCTTTGGACACCAAAGACAGCACACTATACCCTCTGCTCTGCATCTTCAACAGTCGCTTATTAACCATTTTTCCTCACGGTGTCTTTCCTTCTGGATTCTGGGAAGGAAGGGAGTGGGACAGGCCCTGGCCAACGTTTCTAAAAGGAGGCATTTTTCTGTGATGTTCTCTTATCTGCCTCCCTGCAGCCCATTCCCACCCCAGCCCCCTCCCCAGCGTCCCCTCCACAGCTGGCATCGCTCCCTGTCCGTGCATGCCCACTGCTGCAGACCCAGGCAGCCAACCCCCAGCCCCTCCCATACTGCCAGCATGCACTGCATGGTGCAGAGCATGAACACGCTTTCTACATCCAGTCAAGGCCTACTGGCTTTTCCTTGGGGACAGGGGCTTCATGGATACCACTAGAATGGAGACCAGTGAGTAGCGACAGCTTCTTGGGGTAGGAGCAGCAAGGTCAGAAGGGTTTCCTCCTCACACGATCCCCACACTGCCCCCAGGTGAAGGCAGGACACCCTCTCGCTCCTGCAGACTCTGCCCCTGCCAGGCCCAGCCTGGTTCCTGCTCCTTTGTGTACCCAACGCACAAGCCGTGGCTCACCAGTGACCTTGATCCCAGCTGCACCCCCACAATGGCGACCACCAGGCCCATTCCTCAGGAACTGAAGCTGACAAAGCCCCACCTGACCAGGGGTTTGATCTTTTGGGAGCTTAATCAAAAATTGAAGACTTGGCTGAATTTATCCAAACAGGAGATTGGAACCTACTTATTTAATGGCAGCTAACCCTGCTCCTGAAACTATATTCAAGTCATTCTAAATGCACTGGATACATATTCCTGTAGAGGCTACTGTGAGCCAGCTGGGTCTGGAACTGCAGCAGTAAGCAAAACAAAGCCCCTGCTCTCAGGAAACTTGCATTCTGGTAGAGGAGACAGCCAATTCAATCCCCAACCACAGGTCAAATGTATGGTGTATTCATATTGTCAATATTTGTGTATTTGTACTGTCAACCAGGACCACTGTAGATCAGCAATTTGGAGTTATTTTTTGTTGCAGTGAGGGAGACCACGCACCACAGGGGCACCAAGGGGCATCTCTGACCGGGGTACCAGAAAGAACCTATAATGGGTCTTGGCTTTGGTGGAGTGGTTCAGGAGAGGGCTGAAGAAAGTGGAGCTTTGCTCTAAATAAGGTGCTTTCAGAAAGCAGGGATGTAAATGGAAGTATCATGTGAGACTTCTGTATGCAGCCTGCTTAAATGGAGCTAATGCAGTTGGGAGGCATATAACCGCTCTTCTACTCTTAGTCCTTCCTCCCGCCTGAAATATGGATGTTAGAGCTGGCGCTGCAGCAGCCATCTTGGAAAACAAGTGTGCAAGTGTTACCCAAGCATTAAGGATGGTAGAACGGAAACAGAAGGGCCCATGTTCCTGATAACTCTGGAGCTGCCAAACGGTCATGGATTAATTCATTTTAGATATATTTTGTGTGGGCAATAAACAAACTGCTGTCTTTTTAACAGTCAGTTATTTGGGGGTCTTCTGTCATACACAGCAAAAGTAAATACTAATTGATAAAAGATGTATTCAAACGATTTCAACAGTGAGTGACGTCATGGCCCCTCCCTCCTCAGAACTCCCTCTGCAGTGAGGTGGCCTCAGGAGGAAGTGGGTCATTAAAACACAGGCAGGTAAAGGCTGAGGGAGTGGTTATGCCCCAGGGTCCACAGCAGGGGTGTCAAACTCATTTTCACCAGGGGCCATATCAGCTTCGTGGTTGCCTTTAAAGGGCCAAATGTAATTTTGGGGACTGTATAAATGTAACTACTCCTGAACTAGGGGCAAGGAGCTCAGCGCTGCCACTGGGTGGAAACAAGGTGCCAGGCTGCATAAAACAAGGTGGAGGGCTGGATTTACCCACAGGCTTTGCGTTTGCCACCTGTGCTGTACAGGAAGGACAGAGCCGGATGGCAAAGCAAGCTTCATCTTCTCTTTTGCTTCCAACCCATATCTAAATTCAATAACTCACCCCATAGTCCTTGTTTGTATTTCATTCCATTGCCTATACTTTGATATATTTCAGCACCTAATTTAAGCTCTGGAGGTGAGCGGGGCAGTGCGGGGGTGGGGGGATGATAATGTGAGTCTGATTTTAGATGGTTGGCATTTATAACCTCACAGAGAACCTCGATGGAATAATAAGCAACAGTAATGAACTTGCTACGAATCAATTTTGTATGTGAAGCCTCATCCAACCAACAATTATATAAACACTCTAGCTCCCCAAAATTGGCCAGATGCTAAAACTACAAATGCCATCTGTGTTATTTCTTTAATGGACCAATTACTTTGCGGCTGCCTTTTCCCCATTGAAGGCACCTTAACAGCACCTTGGCCAGCTCTTGCCTCTGGCCGAGACTGCTCTTAAATAGCAAAACTCTCATGGCTTAAAAGTCTCCAGCTCTGGGCCAAATGGAGACAAATGTATACAAAGCACTTTCCAAGCACTCACTATATATGTTCTCTTATTTAATCTTTACAGTAAGCCTGCAAGATAGTTTCTAGGATCCTCCCTTCACCTGTAAGAGTTTGACATCCAAAAGCGTAAGCAATCGGCCCTGGCTGGGTAGCTCAGCTGGTAGCTGTTGCCTTGATATGCCAAGGCTGAGGGTTCAATACTTGGTCAGAGTGAGCACAAGAATCAGCTAATGAATGCATCCATAAGTGGAACAACAAATCGATTTCTCTCTCACAAATCAAGAAATAAAATTCTAAAAAACATTTTTTGAATTTTTTTCTTAAAAAGCCTGAGTTTAAAATTTCTTTAAAAGACTGGAGGACTATCTCCAGGGCTACACATTATTTGAGGGTTCAAACCAAGATCTCGGGCTGCTTGTCTCGACGCCGTACTGTTTCCCGTCCCCCACACCACCCACACACAAATGTCCTCTCTGGTGGTGTCTTCCCTATCATCTCACAGCCTTTTAAGCCTGGAATCTCCTTGTCCTTGACCTCCTAGGTTAACTTGTGGCCAGTGGGGCCTGTCCTTCCTGGGAATTTTCCCCACCCCATGCTTAGCTCTTACAGCTTTTTATACTTTACCCTTTACCCTCTGTATCCTCGACCTACGGGAATCACCCATTTCCAGTATGAGGGACTCAAGAATGGACGCTTATTGTACACTTACTTGTCACAGGAGTTTGTCTCCATTAGTCTTGAAAATAATTGTATGAGGACTTTGCCCCCTCCACATGTTAACTGATGGTCACTGGTGCCAATTCAATGCCAATGGGAACCCCCAATTCGGGGTGCGGTGAAGAACATTTTATTCATCGCTAACAGTGCAAGCGTGAAAAAACATGGCGGGGAGTCAGCGACGCGACGTGCTCAGGAGAGGCGTTCCAGCTGTGAGGTGCTCCTCTCCTCACAACATGGTGGGAAGGAGCCCTGTGGTGGGGGATGTCCTCTTTTCATAGGACCTCAGAGCACCCCTGGCAGGACTGCTGCGTGGATGGCAGCCCCCAGGTCCCCTCAGGTACGCCTAGTCTAAATACAGCCCCTACTTTAAAGGCAAAGTACACTCCTCAGCCACAGGAAGCTAACTTATATAGAGACAAGTTCCCACCCTAGTCCCTAATTGGTCCATCCTCATGCAAATAAGGACTCCTAATTTTCAGTGTTTGATTGGTCCAAAAAGCACTACCCTGATTGGTCAGAATAAAGCTACTTTGATTGGTCAGGAAGATGCTAAGAGGGAGGAGAATAAAGCTGTGTGCATCTCCAATTGGTCGGGGAAATTCTCAGTCATATCGGTTGAAAGAGGATTTCAGGAATTTTTTTACGAGAGATGGCTCAGCCATCAGAAACATAGTGTGGGGCAGGCAGTTCAGTGTGGTCAGCGGGCAGTTTAAATGCAGGCTTCTTCTGAAGGCTGGCTTGCCAGAGGCCCCCGTTTAAAAAGGACTGCTAGGCTGTTTTTAAATTGGAGCTCAGGGAGCCACCAGGAGCCATTCTTGGTGTGTATCTTCTTACTCAGGATCAACATACTCCGTACAGATGAAGAAACCCGATACCCAGCGACCTGAAATGGTGGAACGAGATGAAAACCCAGAGGTAAGGAGAGGTTACAGATTATCCCTGCCACCAGACTAGCACGTCCCTCAGGCGTTTGTGGAATGAATTAATGAATGGATGAATGAGTGAATATTAAAGGTCTACTTACAAAAGAAACTTAGAAATGACACAGGGAGAAGCGCTTTAGTACCCTGAAAAAGACATATTCCAGATATAGGCAGGGTTAGGGGCTGCAGAAAATCCCAAACACTGAAACAAGCCCATAGTAAAAAGAAAACTTTTCCTCAACACTTTCGCAAATAACAATGTAGCTCTGCAGACCAGTGGCAGAAGGGGCTTCTGCAGTTTATAAGGCTCCCACCTTCAGCGGTGTCTAGAACACCGCTGGGTTTTGTTTCCAAACTTCCTCGGCGCATTAGAGGGGGCGGGGAACAGACGCCTGTCCCTTTAAGAATCTGGTTGAAGTCCTCTTCTCCCTGCCCCGCCCCCTCACGGTACCGGTGCGTTGGGGGGAGCCCATCCCTTTATCCTCTTGCGGCCTAAACTACGGGTTCGCACGCCCATCCGTCACAGAGGCGCCGCCTCTGATTGGCTGGTGCGCTTCGGGCCGCGAGGCGGGGCGGGAAGGCCGGAGTAACTAGTTTGTTGGTGGAACCGGGGCTGTACCGCAGCGGCAGCGACTCTGGAGCTGTGGAGAGCGGGGGAGGGAAGCGGCAGCGGCGGTGGCGGAAGCTCGGAGGCTCCGGCAGCCAGGGGTCTCTGATCGCGGCGACCGGCCCGAGGCTGAAAGGGCGGCGGGTGGAGGCGCCCCGAGCGGTGAGTACCTGGGCTGAGGGCACAACCTCGGGCCTGGGTAGCTGTGAGCCGGGCCGCCGGCGTTGGCACTTGTCACTGCCCCGGACCCACATCAGGTCCTGCGCGATCCCCCGTGGGAGCTCCGAGCTGAGTGGGCTGCTGCGGGGCCGGGATCCCGAAGCCGTACCGGGAACCGCGGGATCTGGGGCGGGGGTGGCCGGAGTCGGGGACAATGGTGGGGGGTGGGGTGGGACCGTGGTTCGCCACCCTGTCCCCAACGCCGGCTCTTCCTGCGTGCCTGGGGACCCGGCGAGGGCATTTGTGGAGACCTCTGGGAGAGGGAATGAATTGTTTTGTAAATGGAGGTTGGCGCGCGGGAGCAGCAACTGTTTCCCTTGGGAGTGGTTGATTCATTCAGTCCGCGGACTCTCTTTTTAAAAAATCACTATCGATCCTGGAAAGAGGAGGCTGCATGTCCTGGAGGCTGAGAGCAGCCCGGCGAAGTCCCCACGCACTTGACACCGAGGGCCAGATGGCCGCCTGCCTGGTGCAGAGGGGTCTAACCAGGGACGCGCCCGCCGCCTCTGGGACCCCAGCCATTTGTGTCCCACTTCACAGGGCCCCTTGTCCTTGTTTAGAGAGCCGCGGAGCCACAGAGAAAGAGTCACACGCCCTAAGTCCCACCCACTTGCCCACCGGGCGGTGGCCACCCTCCAGCCAGCTCCCCTCTTCCTCCCGTCCTGCTGGGGCCCCAGGACCCACCGCCCTGGGGCACAGCCTTCACGGTTCCTTTCACCCCCTCGTGATTGCTTGAGAAGCGTTTCCTTTGGGAGACTGAACCTCCAGGGGTAGCGGGCACTTTTGTGCTGCTGCTTCAGACCCCCCAAATGTCATTGCCATTATCTTTGAGCAAAGAAAAACTTTATCCAGGACTGATCAAAGGGGATGGGGTGGGGGCAGGTCCAGGCCCCTGAAGGTGTGGTCTGGCTGTTCTGGGGGCCTGCTGGGTGACTCAGAGCAGGGTGAGGACCCCCTGAGTTTAGGCCATCCGTGGGGAGTCAGGACAGAGAAGCCAGCTGTCTGGGCCTTTAGGTTTCACTCTGGCAGTGGGACAGAAGGGGGGGAAGTTGTTGGTAGCGCTGGGAGGAGAGGCAGAACCCCATTTTCTTATCGTGGACCAGACTCTGATGACTGACTGTGATTTAGGTCAGATCCTTTGGGACCCTGGGCCTCACTCTCCCCATTCATAGGTGGGACTGATGGGCCTGGGAGTGCTGTTAGGACTCCTAGGGGGGTGTTGGTGAAGGCTAACATTTGGGGACTGGGGACAGGTAGGACACAAGGTCCACCCCACAGGGTCCAATTTGGTGTCCTAAGACCAGCATCCTTGGGTCCCCAAGCTGGACCTGTGGGGTTTGACGGAGTCAGCCTTGGCAGACATCTCTGTCTCTGGTGATTCCGTTTGTCAGGAAGTGACTTCAGGGAGTTTGTTAAAAGGCAGGTAGAAATGGTAGAAGCCTTCACCCTGGGGCTAGGGCCGGATCTGTTTGTGGTGCAGAGAGAGGAGATGTGGGGGACTTCCAGGCTCCACATGCCCCTTAATAGCATCTTAAACCTGCGGGAACTTGGTGTGGAGAGAGGAAAGCAGGAAGAAAAGAGGAAGACTGCCCAGGCCTGGGAGTGCCCGGTCTGCCGTGAAAGAGGCCCAGTTCTTTCCATTTATCCCTCTGATACATCATAGAGTGTTATTTAGTGGGTGGTTTGTTCATTTACTTATTAATTGATTGTCTGAAGGGTCTTGATTGGAACACTGCCTTCAGGGAGCTCCTAAGTGAGGGTGTGCTGGCCTGTGGATTAGTAGCCCCAACACATGGAGGTGTGTGCGTACAGAGTTCCTCAGTGGTAAGGGCAGCAAGGGGAGCAGAGGGCACACAGGAGGGGCACAGGTGGTGAAGACTTTCTGAAGAGAAGATGCCTAGATTAGGTAAAGATCAGAAAGGCACGCCAGAGCCCATCATCTGGGCTCTGGGTGGCTGCTTTTTTCCACCACCCACTCAGACTTCTCCCAGAGACAAATTTCATTGCTGACCTTAAGGCAGGTGCAGGTTAAGCTTGGAGAGGATGGGGGCAGAAGGTGATGGAAAGGTCCCTAGGGGACCGTGGTGGCCTGGCCTGTGGGGTGCAGTCCCCAGGAAGATGGATGGCTTCTGGACGCAGCCCTTCTGCTCAGGGGGTTCTGGGAGAACCTCCCCCACCCCAATCACAAAGCCTGGTCCATTGCCGGAGCCCCTGGTCCTTCTGGACCAGTTGGCAGAGTGGGTGTGGCCTGGCCAGGGAGGGGGCCAGCTGAGCTGGCAGGAGGAAACAGAGTAGCCAGACACAAGCCAATCACCAGGCTGATTGAGAGGAGGGTTTTCATTTAATGTGCTAAATTTCATAAGTGAATTGCTTTGGGTAGCCAGGACTGTTGGAGCATTTTCCCAGCCAGAAAGCACTTAGTTGGAACAACCAGCAGTGGCGAGAACATGCCCCCCCCCCCCCCCCCCCCCCCGCCGCTTTTACTCCCAGCACCCTCACAGGACTTCCCCTTGGTAATCTGGGTCTGTCTGCAGGTGAGGGAAGTTGGTCCAGTGTCCACGGCAGGTTCCAACCCCTTCCCTGGACCCCCGAGCCTGAGCAGTGCTACCCCCATCCTACTCTGAAGGTAGCAAAAGTGATACCTGTCACATTCAGGAAACCCACCTGCCAGACCAACTCCAAGTCCTTCAGCTTTAGGCGCCGGGAGGGAGGTGGTGTGGTGGTGAGGCCAGAGAGAGGACTCAGGGACAAAGGGCTCTGTTTCTTCTCTTCAGCACGAGAGCATGGGCTGGGGAACTGCACCTGGGTTCACCTGTACCTGTGCGTCTGTGACCAGCCCTCTCCTGGGGCCCCAGCCACGTCCCCCTTCTGCTGTTCTGGCATCCACAGACTGCCCTTGTGCACTGATGAATCTTTCCTTCCAAGCCCTGTCGGTGCGTTTTACATGCAGAAGGATGAGCATTTGTGGCTCTTTGAACTTCTTGTCAAATTGCCAGCTCTGTGGTTGGAACCCCCACACCTGGAACATTTGGGCCAAAAGAACACTTAAGTGGGGGACTGGGAGTCCTTCTCTGCCCCTGCCTGGCTGTATGGTTTCAGGTAGGTCCCCTTAACTTTGGGGGCATCCATTTCTTCTTCTGTAAAATGAGTGGATACTCTTCTGTGCCATGCTTCCAGCAAGTGTTGTGCTGTGAAATCTCTGAAGTTCTTGCAGCATTTGGTGTTACAGTTTTATGAGTTATTGCGTTAACCTTCGTGGGCAGGAAAAGTTTGAGAAGCTGCAGCCAGCAGAGTGAGGGGGTGCTGAATCGGATAGTTAGTTCCAGCTCTGCCTCTGGTGTGTTGTGCGACTTTGGGCAAATAAATCACTGTCCCTCTCTGGGACCCCTTTTCTTTTTCACCTGTAGAATGAGGGGTGCAATAGGCCAGCTCCCAGTTTCTTTTCCTTTCTTGGTGAGTGGAAACTGAGTCAGACTTCTCCATAACTCAAGAGCTACAGGGCGATTCTCCCTCAGTTCCCTGCTTCTGCCCACTGTGTCTCAGGCCCCCACGTGAAGTGCCCGCAGGCACTGGGTGTGCCTATGGGTGAAGGGCTGGTGAAGCCAGAGGACTGGGTGAGGGGAGAGACAAGCTGGGCCCAAAGGAAGCTGGCTCTTAACCGGTCCTGGAAAGGGAGCTGAGCAAACGATGTAGGGGAGCAGTTAGGGTAACCCCACTCCTGCACCCCAGAACAGACGGAGTGGGACCTAGCCTGTGCGGTTTCTCCTGGTCATAGAGCCTCGGGCCACCTCTGAGAACACAGATGGACAGAGAGGTCCCAGAAGCAAGAGGGATTGAAAGGAGCCCAGGAGATTTCGGGGCTCCTGCTTGCTGCACACCAGGCTTTGCCAAGGAGGTGCCTGCAAGACCAGTTGGATGGCTCCTCCCGCAAGGCGGCAGGGCGCTGAGCAGGTCCTGGGGGAATGCTGCCCCGAGGGAGGAGCACCTGTGCCTTGGTGTCACTCCCACCCACCTCTGTCAGCAGCGAAGACACCTACTGTCAGCAGATTCCCTGAGACCAGGACACAGGTACTGGAGGGGAACCAGCAGCCTCACTCGCTTCTCCCTGGGTCCCCAAGGAGAACTCACCGCAGATCAATCTAGGCTGAACGGAATTAATTTCCTAATTAAGATAAGAGCAGCTTTGCTCCTTTGATGAGCTGCCTGGCAGGTTTGTCCTCAGCCAGGCCAGATGTGTCTGGGCAGGAGGGAGGCCTGAGACAGGAGCTCTTTATCTAGAAAACTGTGGTACTCGCATCTGGCATCCAGAGTTCAAGTGCTGCTGTGTCCTCGCTGGACTTGGGAGGCCCTGGATCCGAATGCCACCCCTTCTCCTGCTGGTGTTGTTGGGCTCATCGCACAGTGCAGTGGGGGAGCTAACTGCCCACCTCTCTGGGTCCAGTGCAGGTGGTCTTTGCACCTGAGGCTCAGCTGGGGATTAGCTCAGGGAACACTCAGAACCTAGTACATTTTAAGTACTCAGTAGCTCTATTTATGTTTAGTAGTATTGTCGTTGCCATTCATCACTGAGCTGTTGTTTTCTTACTTGTGAATTACAGAAATAGTGGGACATATGTTCCCATGGGTGGGTGAAATCATGTGACTGGTTTTGGCCAATTAGATGGCAGCAGAAGCAGTGCGTATCCTTCCTGGCCAAGCACTGCATTGTCTGTGCCACACTTTCCAGAGAGCTCTTTCTTCTCTTTGGCATGGTGACCACTCTGTCATCTGGGTCCCTGGGAGTGACAGTGATGAGACACTCCCCCCCTCCACCAGAACCATGATGCATGTAGTATGAGTAAGAAATAAACCTCTGTCCTCTAAAGCCACTGAGATCTGGAGGTGTTCCTTGCTGTAGCCCCACCTAGCCCTCCCTGAGAAAAACCGTCAGAACCTCCTCAGGC